GGTTAACCCTAAAGTGGTTTATACTGTCTTTACAGTTTACGCAAACTGGAAATATCTTAAGTCCCAGGAAATTGTTTTTTTGGGAGTTAGCATCCGAATCCCTAAAGATCAAAATCTCATAGCTTCACACTTTTAAAAATGACAATGAATGGCAAAAGAAACCGTTTAAGCTGCACTTCAATCTTATAATATTGGATCTGTAAATCATGCTGAAATCATGCACAAAACGTGATAATTTAACATTCTGCAAAGAAAACTAACAAGCTGGTACATAAGCCCAGTGTTACAACTCTACATTCACGGATTAAAGAAGATTGTCTTGTCATTAACATCCAGAATACAATTTGGAGAAAAGTTCAACTCTTATTCAGCCGTAATAAAAAGCCTTACACTTCAAAGGAGGTCTAAGAAAACGCTATTGCATCAGAGAGGAAATCAACAAAAACCACAGTAAATCGATCTGTGTCCAATTACCTCTCAATGTGACATAAGCGGCTAAAATTACATTAGCTCAGTAAAAAGGCTACCCGTTCCGAGCATAATCTACCTAGCAGAGGTAATTAGAATACTTTATAAAAAGGAGCAGCATTTTGCCACGAGGTAAAAAGTCGTGAAGGCCTACAACCACCTTTTTTTTCTTTTAAAACGTGAAGCTGTGAAATTTTGATCTATAGGGCTTCGGATACAAAATTGAAAAAAAAAAAAAAATTTCCTGGGACTAAAGATATTTCCGGTTTGCGTAAACAGTAAATCACTTGCCGCGTACTATAACCTGCAACCTGAAAATTACACCCTCCGGATTTCACATAGAGTTATTTCGCTTTAATATTGACATGCCTTTCGAGTGACCATAACTTGGAATATGTTTTTCCACGGAATTCGCCAGACACCGACATCATTAGAGATCAAATGAATATCTAACAAACTTTATCTTCTTAGTCTGCACTGCTAGTGACTGAACCTAGTTTCCATCATATGATTTATGGCTTTTCGCCATAAATTCAAGTGGGGGAGTGGATCTGTTACCAACAGTATAAGCTATTAAGCTAATAACATGCAGACCTAGAACTTCGTTCGTTATTAGCTTTCCTACATAATCGGAGAATTCACAACTTCCAAGAATAAAAACAAGAGCGGTAAGGCTGCTATTCCTTCCACACAATGCCATTTGTATGAACACAAATTGCGGTGTTCAGCACTTGGTTATAATAGAATGTTTGTTTGTTTGTTTGAAGATCTCGAAAACTTACACTTTGTGCCAGAGTTCGTATTCTTTAGGCCCTCTCTCCAAGTCATAGGTATATTCCAGAGCAGCTTTGGTGGTGTTCGGATAGGTGCCGATTGTTTCTTTCGGAGGTTTAACTTTAGGCAAAAACTGCTCCTCGGCTGCGGTGGGATAGTGAAAATAAGCCACTTTTTGATCGAACAACGTACCGCTCTGGTCTCTGTACTGTTGACGATGCTGAAAGACGATGTTGTCGATTTGAGCGCGGTCTCTCTCCCGGTCGGGAATTCTGTTGGTGAGATGATGATGTGGTTTAATCAAAACAGCTTCTCTTCGCTGGCACCGAGTCCCTAATACACGGTCAGGCTTCTCGGATAAGCTTGTTGGTCGGTAAGGGGAGCCAAGTGTGTTTAAGTTCTTTACCAAGGTTTTCTCAGCTACGTACGAACGCCTGTAGTCTTGGAACCATTTTTCTCTTCCTTCTCCATATCGTTGACTGTCTCCATACGACATGAAGTGCGGTATAAAATACCTATTTGCGGGCATATTTATCGGATCAATATATGTTTCTCTATGCCAAGTTGAGAACCTTGGGACTTTGTGGTTCGCCATGTTTGATCGTTTGCCGTCGCTAGGTGACTGAAATAGGTTGGTGATGTGTACATGTCTATGTGCGGGCCATAAATAAATTAAATAAACAATGCCCTCCATTTGGCGCCAAAATATATATGGCTTGTTAACCGAGCATGAGGTCAAGATGTTTGGATATTGGCTAAGTTCTTTTCGCGTTTCCAGGGAACGAGACGAATTCGAGGTCCATAAAAACACAAAAAGAACGAGGCTGATATCCAGCCATCTTCGTCAAAGCGGCTTGGTCTATAAAGGATTTACTATTCCTTTCACACAATGCCATTTGTATGAACACAAATTGCGGTGTTCAGCACTTGGTTATAATAGAATGTTTGTTTGTTTGGGTATGTTAGAAACTATATTAAAGAGCCGTGTTCAATCCCTGACCTNGCCGCGTACTATAACCTGCAACCTGAAAATTACACCCTCCGGATTTCACATAGAGTTTAATTTCGCTTTAATATTGGCATGCCTTTCGAGTGACCATAACTTGGAATATGTTTTTCCACGGAATTCGCCAGACACCGACATCATTAGAGATCAAATGAATATCTAACAAACTTTATCTTCTTAGTCTGCACTGCTAGTGACTGAACCTAGTTTCCATCATATGATTTATGGCTTTTCGCCATAAATTCAAGTGGGGGAGTGGATCTGTTACCAACAGTATAAGCTATTAAGCTAATAACATGCAGACCTAGAACTTCGTTCGTTATTAGCTTTCCTACATAATCGGAGAATTCACAACTTCCAAGAATAAAAACAAGAGCGGTAAGGCTGCTATTCCTTCCACACAATGCCATTTGTATGAACACAAATTGCGGTGTTCAGCACTTGGTTATAATAGAATGTTTGTTTGTTTGAAGATCTCGAAAACTTACACTTTGTGCCAGAGTTCGTATTCTTTAGGCCCTCTCTCCAAGTCATAGGTATATTCCAGAGCAGCTTTGGTAGTGTTCGGATAGGTGCCAATTGTTTCTTTCGGAGGTTTAACTTTAGGCAAAAACTGCTCCTCGGCTGCGGTGGGATAGTGAAAATAAGCCACTTTTTGATCGAACAACGTACCGCTCTGGTCTCTATACTGTTGACGATGCTGAAAGACGATGTTGTCGATTTGAGCGCGGTCTTCACTGTAGTAAGAATCAAGAATGACATGTTTATTTCGAGCGCTCGGAAAGAAAGCCCACCGACACGTGTTTGTTTTTCATTCGACAAAATGGAAAAAATAGTATGTTGTTAACATTTTTAAAAGAAAATCCACAAAACAAACTCAGTTCTCGCTCTTGGACGAAACTAACTTCTTGCCGTGTTTTTCTTAACATAAAACCACTATGGTAACCATGCTTTCATATCACTTTGTTTTTTAATTTTTGGATTTTTCAGGTTTTGTGCACAATAAACTAGAGAATAACGTTTATGTTTACTTTGTTTTTGCTGTTTTATACCGCTGTTTGTGACTCCACTGCCGCAAGCAGTTGGCGAGTAGTATATTTTAGCTGGCAACACCCTGAAGCCTGTGTTCCGATTAGGCACCTGAATGGGCAAGAATAATTTAAGTTGTTACACCACACTGAAAATAGTGATAGAAAATGTATGATTTTATTCACAAAGTAACTTGAACTTGCACTGTAATTGTAAGGGAAAGGATGACATGGTTTGGAATCTGTCAAATATACTAAATAAACTACATCGAGTCCTGACCTGTGACAACCACGTGTAAACAAGTTTTCTGGGTTTATTGTGCTACAAATAAACATGATAAAAGAAAAAGAAAGAAAAGATAATTGGGCATGCACCATCACAACTGTCTTATTTCCCAGCACTTGGAAAAAAAACAAGTCTTTCTTGATTCTTACTAAAGTAAAACAGGAGGTAAGAATGGCTAGATATTTGCTTTCTTCTTTTTTTGGGGGAAGGGGTGCAGGGACATTTTCATGGACTGAATTAAAGATCATCAGATTTTTCTGTCTGATTCTCTATCGTCTGAGATACAGAGTGTCCAATGCCACAGACTACAGTCACATCTGACTAGTTTGCTGTATATTTAGGATAATTTTCTTTTTATGTTCCTAGCAAATGACTGACAAAACATTGAATCTTGCATTCCTCACAACATGCATGAAATTCAAGGACCTTTTTCTTTCTTCCCCAATGTGACCAAGAGCAGTATATATAATTCTCATTTATGCAATGACCAAGCTCAAAACTTAATCATTTTTCTTTACCTTCAGAAATATTATGTATCATGGATAGCTTCATAGCACATATAAGAATCTTAGCAAGAACTTCCTATAGACTTGTTTACTTTAGAGTTTTTTGCAACAATTTGAACTGACTTCTTCAAATTAGAATGCACCCCAAAGGAGTTAATGAAGGTAACAACAACACTCCTGTAGCAGAAAATTTTCCTGGTTTAAAATGAACTTCCTGATACAGTGTGACTAACTCAACAAAAAGTTTCTTGAACAAAGATTACAACATTGGGTAGAGGATAGGTCTATGGTGGCCAAGAACTGCCATTAAAAATATTCAAATTTATAGGAATTATTTTTGTTAGTTTTTTTTTAAATTTGATTTATTTCTCATTTTTCTTTTTAAAATAAAAGCAAGTGAAAGTAAAATGTAAAATAGAAATAAAATGAAACCAAAGATAAATGAAATCAAATCAAAATTGAATACTACCCTGCCGAGCGCTGCCACTAGTTTTTTTTTCGTGGTCGGAAAAAATTTTGTTTGTGACTGAACGCTGCCACATGGCCAAGGGCTGCCAAACAAACCCAGAATTATTTGCAGGATGCCTTTCAAGATTCTAGTATGGCGGATGCCACGTGGAAAACTCAAAAGAGAAAGTGACTGCGAAAAGAAGGAAGAAGCATGATGCAGGAGATACAACGCATAAATTAATTAAAGGAAAGCAGCTGTATAATAACTGTCGAATTCAACGAAGAATAAAAGCCGTTTGCTCACGGTGGGTTTCGCAATGCATACAAAGCAACCACAAAGCACCCACAGTTCAAGGGGACTACCTGGGTAATTCAAAAGATATCTTCCTGATGCTGTGAAGGGAATAAATGACATTGGGCAAACTGTCCAACAACACACCCAAAAGGCGGTTCAAGATGCATCTTCTTGCAAGGAATTTTGCTCGCCAGTTGGAACAATCACTGAAAAACATGCATTTGGAGAGGTCCTAAGGTATAGAAAGATCTACTACAGTGAAGATGATAAAGGAGAATTTGTGACTGTGGAGGAGATTATTGATGGACAGTTTACCAAGTACTTAAACAATACTGGTGATTGTTGTGTCGAGGAAACAGATGTTATGGGTCAGAAGGCTCGATGTCTAACCCATATTTCTTATGAAAAGTCAGACAAAAAACTCATGCTGCTAGACATACAAGGACATGGGTACGAATTATTCGACCCAGAAATTGCTTCTCATGAACTTTTGGATGGTAGTGCATTCTGGGTTTGTTTGGCAGCCTTCCGCCATGTGGCAGCGTTCGGCCACGAACAAATTTTTTTTTCCGACCGCAAAAAAAGAAAAAAAAAAACTAGTGGCAGCACTTGGCCGGGTAGTATTTAATTTTGATTTGATTTCATTTATCTTTGGTTTCATTTTATTTCTCTTTTATATTTTACTTTCACTTGCTTTTACTTTGAAAAGAAAAATGAGAAATACATCGAAATTAAAAAAAAAAAATAAAACTAATTCCTATAAATTTGAATATTTTTAATGGCAGTTCTCAGCCACCATATAGGTCTATGTTTTCCCCTTTATATTTCTTGTCCTGTTTGTGCTCATGCAGTTGTGTTTAGACCAATAAATTAATAAGAAATTGACCAGATACGTACCATACATGACTGGCATATTTTTTATTATCTTTATCCAGTACATTCTTAAACAGAACTGAAACTATCAGCACTTGTTGTCAAAACTGTCTTGGCTGGGTTATTGCATTTTGTCTTCAGTGGGATAATTCATTTTCACAACCCATCTTTCCTCCAAGGACATTAAATTAATGGGTTTCAGCAAACTGGCAGGGAACTTGACGTGGTGCAAGGTTACTTGGAATGGACTGGCATTTCATTCTGGAGAAATCTGAGCAGCTTCATGCCACGGCACCATGGAGGCTGGGATAATCTTCAATAGCACTGCATGAGGCCTCTAAAGGTCAGCTTAAAATCTCTGAAAACAGAGTGACCTAAAAACAAGCTAAGGGGATTTACCTTTAGAGCTTGATCTTCTCCTCATAAGAATTAACAATTATTCGCTGAAGGCGAGGTGAATATTGTTGAATAATCCCCAAGATGAAGTCGAGGGAATTATTTGACAATATTCACCAAACCTGAGGCGATTAATTGTTTTAGTATAACTTCAGAGCTGAAAAAGAGAAAAATTTCTAAAACCATAACATTTTAGTAACATTCATTAACATTTTATTTTAACATTTTATATAAACCGCGTGGAGCAGTTTTTATAGCGTCATATAAGGAACCGCTCAACCAATCAGATTGCTGGAAACTCTTTGCTCAGCTCTGAAATTATACTAACAAGAGATAGTGCAGCAAAGGTAACTTTGCATTCTATCATCCAATAACTTCCAGCTCAAATGACTGAGAACAATCACCATCTTCATTTGCAACTTGTTCACTCTGCATGTTAACTGTAACTAGTATCTTTGTGTTTTCTTTTATCATCTGGAGCTCATCAACTGCAAAATACATGCCAAGAAGTGGCATTTTCTTTCCAGTGCAACAGTCTGCTTCATATATAAGCTTAAGGAGAGTCCAAATAAATCCATCCACAGGCTGATTCAGGAGAACTGTTTGTCTTATGTCACTAACAAGCTTCTGCTTTGGATCTACCAGTAGATGAAATAAAAAATAAATAAAATAATAATAATAATGACAATAATAATAATAATAATATTAATAAATCAGTGCAACCTCTGTTCTTTTTGTTCCACATCTGTTAGGTCATTAACTTTGCATGTTTTTGTGTCAGAATCTGCCAACAGTGCTTGTCTCAGGGTTATTGAATACCAACATGTAACCTGGGATTGGGAAATATTGACCTAAGTAGTCAAAAAGAATATTTTAGAGACTCTAAAAAAAAACCAGCAGTTTCAACAAGTAAGCATCCTCCCTTAAATCAGCAGACACCAACTCCCCTTACAATGCAAAAGACCCCTCCCAATAAATGCCTCTTTTTCTTCAAAGGGAATATTGTAAAAGGAAATCCATTCAGCCATTTTCCAAGTTCAAAAGGGCTAACAAGTTTCTTTTCCCAAGCACTACTACAGGACTGTCTATCATTATCCCCCTTCACATCCCAACTCAATGCATCAATTTAAAAAAAGTGTCTTTGAAAGAATATGAGCATACTTGCATTAACAATTGGATATCTCCTTCCAAACAGTTTTGACTCTCTTTTTAGGATGCCATGTAACACTAAACTGTCCAAGACTATTGTTGCAGAATTTTTTCTCTCATATGATCCATGAATTATCCATTCTACAACTGTTCTTGGTTTTCCCTTAGCAGCCTCATGATGCTTTACAATGTCCAAGAACAAAGCCTGATCTAAGTATGTCCCAGTTATTGTAACATCTTTAACCTGCAAGAAGAGTTTGAATGCCAGAAGCAGTTGTTGGATACCAATTCCATCATGACAGACATGTGAGGTGGGTTATTTAATATACTGGTTCCCAGCTGGTTCCTCCATGGAGTGGTGTAATTTCACTTCAAGGCTAGTGTAAACTGAGCTTCTAAATGTTTCTCACACCAGACAAAAATTACACCTTGTCGTTTCACAATAAAATAACTTCCTGACCTCCTAAGCTACAGTTAATACTAGAGAATACTCAATTCTCAAATGTTAAAGTTTATTTGAGCTAAGACTGCATTTTCCTGTTAAAGCCCTTGATAGGGCCTTGCATTGCCTCTGTCCCTCCCCCCCAGATATATGATCAGAAGACTAGGAATGACTTTGTAGACATAACCCAGAAAGAGTACAGAAAGAGTATCATGTAACCCCATACATTAATTATGCATTCCACTTCTTTGTCTTTCACGACAAAACTTTAAAAACAAAGTCTACTAGTCTGAATGCATTATTAATGTATGGGGTTATATGGTACTCTTGCCATATTACGCTCATACCAAAGCCTCATAGTATAACTGTCGTCATATGCCATGCGGTAACTTTAAGAACTATTGTTACTGAATAGCCCAACTCATCCCAACAAACAACCCAGCTACTGATTACCAGCGTGAATAAAGAAATACCTACTTTCACCGTGATAACTTGTCTTGTCTTGTCCATCCAATGTTTGATGTCCTTGTCGAAGTCAATTTTATCCAACACATACAAATCTAGCAACACGGCAGCTGTTGCCGAAGCCGTTAGAGCGTTCGGTCTTAGCCTTCCGGCAACATCTCCAGTGTTTTCATTTTGCCACAACAAGCAAAACGCTTGTGATAATCCTAAATCTCTCTGCAAGATGGAACCTTTATCGAACCTGTCAGAAGCAAGTACTTCCCCCAGCTTCGCAGCCACCATCCACTCCGAGGCGTCCTCAGAGGCCATGTTTACGAATCGTTTCACGAATTATTCTAGATACTGTACATGAGCAGCATTTATCTTAAAATTAACCGAGCCATTCGTAATCGTTAAAAGACGAGTTCACTGACGGACAGATTGCACTATGTGAGTTCAAAGTAAAACGCAGTCGAAAAAACCCAAGGTAAGGAAAAGTTCATATCGATAATTCATCGAATCCATCGAATCGTAGACGATTGACGCCAAGTTAAGGTACAGCGGTCTAAACATAAAATGTGTCATATAAGACTGCAGGACTTCTTACGTTCGCCACTGCGGTGTTTTAAGTATATGTAAAATAAAGGATTAGTAAATAGAAAATTGGTTATGTATGAGAAAAACGGTAGGTGTTAATTCCAAGTAATTAGAGAGGAGAGGAGAGGGGCACGTCAAGAAAAACCCACCAAAGAAATGCAAACGTAAGAGAGGAGGAGAGTGAAAAGAAACACCTTGATACAGGTCATACCGTACAGAGGAGTCATGAGGTACTACGGCAGTTTTCTACTTGTAGTTGCGTATTTTGTGAGTGTCATTACAAAAAACTTAGACATTAATGATGTCTACTGAAGATGGTGAATTTTCCTTTCCGGTCAACTTGATCGAAACGTAAAAAAGGAAGAATTAATGATTAATTGAGGCACTGAAAAGAGGCTTGCTTCGTTCTGTTTTTTCTCTTTCTTCAATATTACTCATCATGAGAAGTTATCTTCCCCAAATGTAAAAGCAGTTGATTACAATTTCCGAAATCCAAGAGCCATGGAAATTTGTCAGTCACTAAAAAAAAAAATTGCCGACCAATCTTTTTTTCAATTCTTAGCAGTTTCGTTCTTATCCCATTTTTTTTCTCCCCTCGTGAAGTATAGGAATTTTGTTAAGAATTGCGGAGCTGTTAAAAAGTTTTTTTTTCAAAGCTTTCGTGACAGGTGAATATGGTTTAACAGCTCGGGCCAAGACTTTTTCCTGTCGGTTCAAACCAAATTTACAAAGGTGTTGAGAACACAGGCTTTTTATAAGTAAGCAGAGAGGTCGAAGAAGAACTTAATTAACTGTCGAATAGTATTCACATATTCAAAATATTGGTTCTCGATACCAGAACAGTTGAAATAGAGTATCGAAGCCCGCAAATCTTAGCGGCAAAACCACAAAAGAGCGGAAAAACGAGTGATATTTGAAGAAATCCTACTTTATCAGATGCCTCTATTCTTTGCAGAAATCGCGTGAGCTTTAGCTCTACGTACTGCTTTAGTTTAAACTCGCCGAATTTTCTGCATCTCAACGGTTGGCTTTCATCCTTCTGACCAGTGTTTTTCTTGTTTTTTTTTTTTTTTTGTTTTGTTTTTTTTTTTTTTTTTTTTTGTTCTGTTTTGATTTGTTTTTTTTTTATAAATACAGTTATAAACCGGTTCATTTCTGTTTAGCTCCGTTACCGAGGCGTTTGATACTTTTAAATCAGGGTGTATTAACAATTGTTCCGCGAGCGCGCGTGGAAATGAGATAACAGATAGCCAACGAGGCGCTAAGCGCCTCGTTGTCTATCTGTCATTTCATATCCCACGCGCGCTCGTGGAATAATTGTTTTATTAAAAACGTTCAATTAAATTATTAAATTTTATTAAGTTTTTCAGCTCCCCTTTGATTTTAAGCTGACGCGTACGCTTACCATATTTGTAGAATATGGTATATTGGCTCATACACCATAATGGCCAAGCCAATCAAAAGTCTTGAATTGCATTATCCAGTGATCCAGCTTTCAATAAAAGCTATTATTCTGATAGAAAAATACAATTTCTTTGAATAAATGCGCCAAGTCGTTCCTTTATTGACACTGATTAAACATCAACATGTGTATTTGATTCAAGGGAGAGAATTATCACAAATACAACCAGAATTAACTCCGATCAGAAACTAGATAGAGGAATGGCAACGGTGGTTGTTAAGCATAACCGGCAAAGTACACGAGAATCGCACGACAAGTGAGGTGTTCGCTGCAAACTGAACGATAAAGTTATATAAGCAGTCTAGGGATTTACAAAAAGCTTCAAATTGTCTCTTCAAATCCTGAAAGAAACAAACAAAGATTTATATTCATTTATCTAAATGATAATTTTTTTCCCACGCTGCCGCTCTAAAGTCGAATCTAATCGTAACTAAGTTCGGCACGGCAGAAACATAGACAAGTGGGGTATTTTTTTGGAAACTTTCTTTCCTTTTTTAAAGGTCTGTGCTTTCGAGGAGAAATACGCCAGTTAATTTCTTATACCGTCGGGGAATTCCTTCGTCAGGTTTGGAAACTTAGGGGTAACTTACCGGGTTTTCCATTGTGAAAAATGAAACTTTGGAATCTTTAAGCCAAGCTTTGATCTTTTAACTCTTCCTTTCTCTCTGGTAACATTTTCATCTGCCTCCTTCCGCGATTCATGTTCCAACTCCTCGAGGAAGAATTTTTGGCTGAAAGGACAGGAGGGTTCCTTCTGTTTAGTTTTGCTGGACGAATTCAGTCTTAGTTGACCTTTATTGAAGCTGGCTGAGCTACTGCTACCCTCAGAAGAGGACCCGACTTGACCCCCTTGAGGCGTATGATCTTTATCAGCAGCCAGCAAGACTTTATCAAAGACGTCCTTTACATTCTTGTGACTTTTGCTCTTACTGAGAGCTTCCTTGATCTCTTCAAGCTTGTCCTGTAACTCTATAGGGTCTACGTTCATGGCATCAGCTAGTTGAAGGAACTGCTTTTGCATTGGCATCAGCTCTCGCTCGATATTAGACAGATCTTCTTCCAACCTAAGATAATCTTCATAGAAGGACTTGAAAGTATCTGTCACGTTAACTGTTTCCTGCACGGCCTCAACTAAGCGATTCTGTAGCTGTGTTATTTCGTGCCTGCACTCGCACAGCTCTCTTTGTAATGCTCTTTTTTCGTTTTCAAACCCCACTACAACTCTCTCCTTCTCGTTCTGCGTCTCGACATTTTCTTTCTCAGCAGCGTGCTTGATGTCTTTCAGCCTCAGATTCAGTCGTAACTTCTCTAGTTCAAGTTGTCGCTTTAGATCGCTTATCCACTGTGTCATTTCCCCAATCTGCTTGTCTTTATCTGACAGACGTTCCAGTCTACTCTCGGCCAACAGTTCAGACACTTCTAGTTTGTTTGCTATACTCTTCTGTTTTTCGTAGAGAACTCGTACATGGATCCGTAAATTTACCAGCATCTGTTAATCACAAAGAAACTGTGTATAAGTTCTTTTCTGCAAAATTTTTATGAAGAACTGAATGCTCTTGATAAAACAGGGTTTTTGCAAAGTTCTCGGGGAAGCTTGTCGCTTAGTGGCGGAGTTAACTTATAAATGATCAAAACTAAGGAATAATCACACCTAATTTCAAAAGTTACTCCACTTTCCACATCAATATGACTTGTAAAGAAGTGAACGCTGTATCTCAAATTGTGTGGCCATGTTATAAACTACAGCAAGTTGGAAAAATTAAATGGGTGACTGAATTCAAAATGGGAACAAATGATAAGTATAACAGACTTTGAGAGATGCTCGATTTCCCTCAGAATAAGGACGATACCTATTTGATGTGGCATAATTTTGTTATAAATTTTGAGTGGCCTCAAAAACACTGAGAAGCTGGTCAACGGTTGAAACAACACAATGCAAGAACTAATACTTTCAAGTTGAGCTTTTTTTTCGAATAGGATTGCACTTCGAGACATTTTACCATTCTTGGATTTTTGATAAATTGAAAACGAGAAAAAGAAAAAAGGAATAATGATGAAAGACAGAAAAAAAAAAAGCCATGAAAAAAGGTGAAAAAAAAGTTCTCCTAAAAGTGGAAGCACCGAGACCTGAATCTAAAGAAGTCTGTTATCTATGTTTTATTTTAAATACTTCACCTTAAAAGGAAATAATTCTTCTTTTCATTATAATTTCGAGGACACTCATTTCGATAAGCGAGGTGAACTAGCGCGCATGCTCAACGACGCCTGTTACCATTTAAACCACGCTTCCATGTAATCGCTATTCCGTTTTCGTTCCGCATTTTTTCTTAAACCGTAAGCTCCGCCGCCCGAAGCCGTTTTGAAATTTGTCAAGTTGAACTTGAAAAAAATTATGGTAATGTTTTCAGGTCTCGATGAGTGCTCATGCGCATGCTCAACGATGGCAGTTTCCCTTTAATAGGGCGCTACCAATGTGTGTTATCTACAGTCGCTATAGGTTGTTTTGCTTTGCTGGTAAATGGCAAGTTCAGGTAATTTATTTAGTATCAGCATAGGACTAACCTGCAGTAATTCTGTAATTTCTGGTTCCTGGGGAACTTGTTCTCCGTCAAGTAAAGCTGAAAGCCATTCTGGTTCCCCAGGATAGCCATGTAAATATTGCAGAAACTCTCTCTCTCCATCGCTTACTGTGATTTGTAGATCATCCATCTTCGGTGGAATAACAAAGCAAGGAACATTCCACCATTGACGTCATAATATCTAGTAATTGCTAATGAACTAAATGATTCGCGCGGGCCTGGGTCAGGTTACTAAACATATTCGTTATCTCGTTCTCTCAGTTTCAGGAATGGAACTGTAAAAAGGGGAAGGCCAATTCGATGTTAGATTGAAGGAATGTGATTTATTAACTGACAGCGCTGTTTGTTAAGGTTCAAGATCAATAACACCTTTCTAGTGAACAAAATGCTGTCGTTGGTGCAGTTTCAGTTTAAAATTGATGTAATGAGGTGGAAGTTAAGTGTGGCGCTACCATGTTCTGAAATCATAATTGTGATTTGCCCTCGAGCGCATTGTCCCTGTGCAACTTTCACTCTGCTTCGTTCACAAAGCGATTGAAGCGCCTGTGATATCAGGGGACAATGGCTGAGCCTGTGGCTTGCTGTCACCTCGCATTGACGGGCGAATACCGGCAATTTTCTAGGAAAGCTAACGACTTTTAGCCCTTTCTACAGGCACGCTGACACACGCTTTTAAATTAGGTTAACAGCAGGCGAACAAGTTTCACGAGCAGGGCTAGAAATGTCAGTTGTAAGATCTCTGCTAACGTATAATGGCAGAACTTAAGGCTGTTTCTTTTTCTGAAGCCCAGTTTTATTTTTGTCGGGGAATAAGTTAGTTGCTTTTTAAGAATAAGTCAAATATTAATTGTAAAAGGAATTAGTTAAATGATTACGTGACAGATTGCATCACTTCTCAGTAAACTGAACTTAGTGCACAGTTTATCAGCTGATGTACTTTGCACGCGCTAATTGAACCAAATAAGGAAGGGATCATGTGAATTAGGCTTGATATATCGTACGATAGTTATATTACTGTAAGCTGTGCATATGATAGGTTATAGTACTGTATTGTGTAAGACAGCGGAAAACTGAAGTACACGCACACTGTAATCAGATCAATAGTAGAACCCTTGAGAAGTAGAAGATTAAACTCCGTGTTAAAATAGAACGTAGAAAGTGTGATAGATACAGTTCTCAGTTGAACCAGCGAGCGGAACAAAAATTCCGCGTCAATTTGCCAGGTCATCCAAGTAAAACCCACGGTAATCTAAACAGAAACAGACAATTTGTCTACAGATTGTAGAATAAAAATCAAACGAATCAAATATGTAGCATGCCGATTTTCTAGTTAAGTTAGCTGAGAACTCTGAGCAGGTGCAGTGGCAGTCTAATCCACTGACGCCGTTTGGTGAATTGGCCTCCGAAACAGATTTTTTTTCCCTCTCAGCCAGGCGGGAAAAGGGAAATCTATGCTGTAATCACGCCGAGATAAGCGTCAGGGGAGAAAAAAAAAAAGGGATTCAATTTTTCACGTGACACTTCAGTTCACACTTCCTTTGTTTGGTTTAAAAAAGACAGAAAAAACTGCTTCACAGAGAACACTCTGTTTACTTCCAAGTGGACAAATAGAAAACAGGACGGGGCGTGTCACCTGATCCCGTCCACCGAACTGAATCGACTGTCACTATCTCGGAGGTCTTATCGTCGTGTGACAATACGAAAGCGGATCATTTGACTGACGCTCTCTGCAGTTACTGAGGAGTAACATGTTTTACTTCACTAGGTTGCTGCGCAGGTTTTGTTTAAAACAGGCGTCTACGGTGAGTCAGCTCGAAAAGAATCAGGCTTTAGTGGTGGGAGGTTTGAGTACGTTTCCGTCAGGGTAGCGTTTTTTGAAGCGTGCTGTGACTTCTGGGTCTAATAGTCTCACACCGTCCAGTTGATTACCCAAGGTTATCCTGTGGATCGAAAGAGAACGTATTACTTACACATTAAAAGTAAAACCTCGTTTTTACAAATCCAGTACTGGCAAATATTCAACAATTATTCACCGAAGTGGAGGTGAATAGTGGTGGATATTTACCGAACTGCTATGCGAACATGAAGGGGAATAATTGTTCTAGTATTTGCCGCACAGTTACCAAGAAGTTATTCGGATATATCAACAAAGTTGAAATGGTAAATTGGCCACCGTAACGATTACAAAAGCTGACGTTTTGAGCGTTAGCCCTTCGTCGGAGCGAATGAGGTTAGTTTATTTCTATGAAGTTAGTTCATTTCTTTCAATTAACCGAAAGAAGTTGAAAATTAATCTCTTGGCGCGCGATTTTCTCTCATCGACGGCTCAGAGGTGAGTACTACTTGCTCTTTACTTCCGAACTAGCCAATCAGCGCGCGCGAAAAACACCATTCGCTCGCGTGGTATACTGTATATTAAAACTTAACAACAAATCAAGTCTGTCAAACAACAATCACTTCGAGTATTTAGCCTTCAACGGCAAAGGATAACAACGACCATCATCTAACATTTTTTCTCACCAGTTTGGTTGAACGTTGTGTTGCCTTCCAAAGAGTTCTAAAACAAAACAACAACAACAAAAAAAAAAAAGAGAGAGAGAGAGAGAAAAAAAAACTAAATGAATGATATAGTACAGTACAGTTCTTTTGTTCAGGCATGAACAAGAACATGGATAACTCAGCCTAGCCTATGATGATTATATTACTGTAGAGAATACAACATGGCCGTGGGCGTATACGAATTCATCTTCGAGTGAGATATTATCAACACGAAAAGCCCGCGACACAAGTCGTTTTATGCGCAGACAAGAAATATTCAGTTTATTGCAAAGATGTCAGGAAACCGTTAAGATCAAATGCAATTTAAAATACATTTTGAGAGCACCGAATCCAGGATGCAAGTTCGTGGAAATTCTGTATAAACTTTCTCCGCAAAAATAAGACGTTTGTATAGATGCCACAAAAGAACGGAATTGGACTTAAGAAACGCTCCCCAAGATGGAGAACCATTACTAAAAAGCACACATATCATTTCCATAAACCCGGTTACTACGACATCATTGTTATCTCCTCATGTTGAAAGGTATACATAGAACTTTATGTTCACTGCGCGCAGCGAAGAAATTTCATGCACCAGATATGAAAGGAATCTTGATTCTTCTTAATGTTGAAATAAAATATTGCTTGGTTTACAATCAGAAGCACAAGATTTTAAATGATGGTAAAGATGGCAAAAAATTCACACCTATCTTCCTTGTTCCTGGTGCCAACCTTTCGATCACTCCGTAGATTTCATCTGGTTTGTGACTTGTCTGTCTCACCTGCAAAAATCGATTCAACTGTCCTGTATGCAATGCAAAAATGATGTCTACATTACAAAAATCGAATATTTCGTCAAAAAAATAGCAACATTTAAGTTGAGGAGACAACTAATTCTGAAAAGTTAAAAATTAAATGTTGATTCATACTGCACGGCTATATTCGTTTATTTTGTTCAGATGTTTTACTCTCCTGGTTCGTTTGTCTGTGTGGCCGTTTCAACCACAGCTAAAGCCTTTTTTTTTCGTTGCTATCGAAAGTGTATGGAATTGCAAAGTTTATCCTTTTCTGAGGGTAAAGAAAATAAGACGCTAGAAGATAAATTCATACTCGCTTGGAAGAGTCAATACGCTAGCAAACCTCAGCAACAAGCACATCACAGTCCAACCCTCTGTTAAATTTTCTACATTCTCCCTTCACGCCAACCTGAAAAACGACAAAACATTTGGTTACATCGGACCAAAAGGAAAAAACAAATTAACAAGAACCAGAAACTGAGCTGAACTTAAAAAATTACCAAACAGTGCTCTTTTCCGTGATTAAGCCAGTGCCCAGTTCTCCCCGTCCTAATAAGGCGCTGTAGTTGGTTTGTTTTCACCCAGATTAACTCGTCGCAGCCCGCATAGCTATTGAATAAAAAAAAGAATAAAAAGCACCCTGAATAATTTCTAGCAGGATTTCAGCAATACAAATACAATAATTCTCTAAAACTGAAGCTCCAAATTTTTTATAACAGGTAAGAAGTGGAAGAAACCGAGTCAATTTTTTTTTAATTCAAATAAAATCAGGATGTGGCTGAAAACTGGGAGCCGCATTTTAAACTCTATTATAAACATTTTTCACTACAAGTAACGCTACGTTATAAAAGCAAACTTCGTTGATAAACTAAATTGCACAAACAAAAACTTAGTTCTGTTACAGCTTAACATCAGCCGCTCACTGAACATTCTTTTAAAGCCATGTATAAAATAGAGGCGCTTTATTCTTATTGCAAAAACTCATTTGTAACATTGAGTGTCGAGTTGATCCAGAAGCAAAGTTCTCAAACTTACGCAAATTAGCCAGAGCAGCCCAAGTTGTTTTACAAGTGAAAAATCTTCCCGTAATAGATGCCCTTTCTTACTATTTGAATATTAAAAGTTGGTGTAATGACTCATGCGTACCTAGCATGTTCAACTAGAAACCGTTGGTTAACAACAACAGGAACACCTTACTTAAAACGTAAAATGAGCTCTTCAACTGAAATACTTACCCCCAAAGCTTTAAACATTCTCGACCAAGTTCCATCGCCCTACGAAAAACAACGTGAAGTACTTGTTTGAGACAAAGTGTTAAACACTTTACTCCGGCACACTTACAAATTAGCGGAATTTTTTTACTTTCACCGAAAAAAACAAGAAACATTTGACTGTTTACAGCTGTCTATGATCGATGAAGTATTCTCGCTCGCATTTTTCAGCGAAGCTAGGCAAAAACGGAGCGCAATTCACACGTGACTTTTTCTTTGGTGTTTCTTTTCTCGGGTGCAAACCACCCTTTATCGTCGCCTTACAATTTTCTTCGCTCACCTGACAAAAACGCGAAAACAAATTACACTTGTTGTGAAGAGTAATGTTCAGCTGTTTTCATCGAGTGTAAGACTCCCACAGTAAAAGTTTTTTTTTTCCCCTAACTTTTTTGTTAAGTAATGGAACAGTAACAACTCTGTTCTGACCGTCCAGTCACCCAAAGAAATATGTATCCTTCGTCTTGAAGAGAGGGAACATCTAGCTTACGCATCTCCTCGTCTGACATAGTACCATAAGGTAACTAGAAAAAAAAGAAAAAACAAACTGTTACCTATCCGAGCCTTGAAAAATGTCATTCCTTTAAAACAAGACACACGATGATCAATTCAGAAAAGAAAATGGTGCGTTATCCAACGTTTGCGATCACAGCGGACTGAATTACGTCCTAAAAAATCTTTTGCCTTTTAAAATCCCCCAGCAAATACTTGGATACTCAACCGGCCTGCATCCAAAGCAGGATATATGCCTGCGTATCTTTGAACATATAAAATTGATCAAAAAGTCTTCAATAAAGGTAGTTCAATATTTTCCATTTTTTTTCGCAAGAGGTGAAAGTGTACGGGACTAATAAATGTCACGCTTTACGTCTTTATAAGTAAATGTTAGGTGCAAGTCCAAATCGCTAGAACTTGGTGTTTATTTTCTATCTTTATGGTTACACAGGTCACAGTAAGTGATTTCAAATAAGTGGGTACACAGTGAAAAGGAAAGTGAAGAAGAAAAGCGGTATATACCTCCATATGTATATCCCAGGGAGGGTCGGCCATGACTACAGAGAACTTGCCCAAAACCGTCATATCAAAATATCTCATGTCACACTGAATCCACTAAAATGAAGAGAAACGGACCACTGGTCATGGCGAGTTAGCATAAGGACTTTGCAATAACGTAAACATTCTCGTATTTTCGTATTCGCTTATCACAAAACCAAGCTCCGCTTGGTTGGCTTAAAAGACACAAGCTTAAACATAGCATAGCAACACAACGAAACCTGTAATAAAAGAGCCAACGTTATAATAATGTCCCATTTTTGTCTTCCAAAATTACATGCGACGAGAGCCTGCTTTGAGCGACACCTATACTACGCCTAGAATTCAAGAGTTTTTTTTTTACATCGTATAACGCAGGAAAATTATGCAGTTTTAGAACCGAATCCCGCTAAGGTAATGACGGATTTGATTT